GTTTAATATGGCATAAGAAAAGATTAATTTCCCATTGCCATTTTAATTAGAATTGTAAAGACACCGTTTGACCGTAACTAATATTATGTTCGCATTTCGATTTATTAAAACAGTTGGTACTGGGTACATGTTTTGTACAATGACACTGAATTGTAAGCAGACACCGAAACATAAAAATTCCATTGGGATTCCGATTATTAATTGGCAGAGTCATTTTTGGGTGAATGTTTGGTATAATGTGCCACAGATTTGAAAAACAAAAATGGCAACCATTGGTTCTTTTGCATGTCTTTACAGTGTTAATCAAATACAGATTTGAAAAAAAATGGTTGTGTGTTAAAGGTGCAGTGTGATTGTGTAGACGTCCCCGAACGCCCCGGGAGGGATGAGCTCCCCCCGTTCAGTTCATTTGGGGTCACTACAGCTCGGACTCTCAATTGTCACGGTTCTAAATCTGAACCAAAGAGTCCAAATCCGGCAATCGTTTTGAGAAAAACAGATTTTTGAAAGAAGTTCCAAACATGGACTGCTTTGCCAGATACAGAGTCGCCACCTAAATATTTTTTTTGGGAAATTTAGGAAACCCTAACTCGTTGCCTAAGGCCACACGTGTCCGTCATCACCAAAGTTGCCTTGGCTCGGGAACTTGGGTATGATTGGGGAAGGTCACTTCGTGAGCACCCCGCTCGCCCGATCAAAGATCGGCCTCTACTAACCATGATATCAAGTTTTTGAAAACATTGTGTGTTCTTATTCCGGTTATTAGCCTAGATTTACTATGTGATGCGCACAACATACAAGTATAGACTGGATCGCCTGAATTGGAACAAAACATTTCATGTTTTGTTTATTTGAAAATGGTTTGATGGTGCTACCCGCAAGTAGGCTAAGCGTGGATTTGCCACCCTCAGGTGGGCTTAGAAAAAACATGATTTTTGCCACTATCTAGTGGGCTTAAAACACACATTTGATGATTGTTCCAATCCAAATAACCCACCTTCACCCACAGGCATTCAGGCAGTTATATCACATAAGCATATAGCCTCATGGTAAGCATGCTATCATGGCATTCACTCACACGCATGCAAGGATGCTAAAGCATAAAACTCACCGAGTACTCCAAGCAAAAACAGAAGCTCATTAGAAATCCATGCATGGTCCTAATTATACAGAAATGCCTAATGCAACACATGTAAAAATGCAACTATAGCAGGCTTGGCTATTCTAAACATGGCATATGAAATGCTACAGCTAACATGTATTCAACTTGGAATTGAAAATACAATGCAGTTAGTATGATGCGCCGAGCCCGGTGTATGCAATACAGATGAATGAATGCAAACATGCTGTTATACTGTATGCTAATTGAAACATGCCTAGTCTAACCATCATAAGCGGGTAAATAAAAGGGAGAAAGACGTGGGGTTGGAAGACATACATCACACACACGCACATTTATTACAACATTGCCCTCGCTCGGGGGTCGAATAATAATATACAGTCCCAAATGAATAAATAATACAGTCCCGAATAAA